AAATACTGCATGTTATTGCAAAAATAAATAAATAATAGGGTGTGGCTATACTATTTAAGGGGAATGGCTTATAACATGTACAGGGGAAAATAAGGACTTACAATGCGCACAGTTAAAAAGAGAGAAGTTGAGCACACATATAGCTTAATTCACAAGGTTATTACACCCGGATAAGGATACTTATTTCCAAAACGTGACAGTTATACTGTTCATTAGCCTTAGATGCAGAATAAAAACTTATACTGAGAATTACACCCAGCTACGGCTCGCGGTATACTGAGACGCCCCAGCGGATCCCGACATCGAGATCCGCCCAGCTGCGTGAGTGACAGCTGGCTCTGCCTATCTAGAGGCAGAGCCAGCTGTACTCTCCCCCTCCCCGTCCGTTCCGCCAGTCAGCGCTGGCAGATCGGAGCGGGGAGAGGGGAATCCAGCCCCTCCCCCTGTCACGGGAGGTGAGCGAACCCGGTATGTGTTCGCTCACCTCCCGATCTACTGAGCCGACCTGTGACAGTCTCATTGTCACAGGTCGGCTAGAACTATGAGGTGAGTGGAAATCACTCATCTCATAGTTCTCCTTTAAACAACAAGGAGCAGCATGCAATGATTTCATCAACATTTGCAATAGCTTAAAAACCTTTGACTTTAATATTACTTTAAATGTACCAGTTTTTGACCAGAGAGTGGAGCTTTTCTTTACATATGGATCGGAAAAAAAAATACAGTTTGTTAGGACAGAGATTGAATAGAACGAGTTCCAAAGTATCTCAAACTTCTTTTAAGAATTCTAAGTCAAACTCTATGCAAAACCTTATTTTTTATTTTATATACTAGGTTTCTTTGGCGATTTGTGACCTCTTTGGTCGAATTTCTCTTTTACTTCCTGTGTAGCGACCAAAACAGATATTGAGGGGAATGTCTCCAACATGGGCCCTGAAAAGTTTAGCTACGCCTCCCCTAGGAGCAGAGATAATAAGGTTCCTCCTGTGAAGAGAAAATAAGGTTCCTCCTGTGAAGAGATAATAAGGTTATGAAAATCTTATTAAATAACCGTATGTAACACTTGGAAGTGCCACTGCTTACATCTGACGTTCATCTGACGTATAATCCATAATTAATAGATGAGAAGAAATAAACCAGATGCAATGTTTTCATTCTTAGCTCATTCCGTGTGGTGTTGTCATTCATTTTAAATGACTCATATAATTTTATTTGTATGTCTTTGAATAACAAGTCTGTATAGGTCTTACATTGAACATCCAGCCATTAATTAGATCAGTTCACATGTACTCTTTGTTTATTATCTTATGCTCCAATTAAACAGGTTTCTCACACACAGCATTCCTGGCGAGTCTGACCGAAGCAAGTGGACGGCGGTGACTAAGCTGTACGACCAGACATGTTTTATAAATACATCCTCTGCCGGTAGAGCCAGTCAGGCTTTCAATCATCTTTCTGCACCATCAGAAGGAAACCGCAGTATTATCACCAGCCAGTCAGAGAAGAATGATGGGGCCCTCACAGATCTTGCCTCTTGTAGCTTCTTAAACTAATGGGTCTGTGAAAGATAGTGTAAAAATATGGTCGGGAGGACGCTAGTTTGTGTCCCCCCGTTACCCTAAGGAGAACTATGGGGAAAAACACTGACCCCATAGTTCTCCTTTAAATAGTATAAGTATACAGTTTCAGCTTGTTATTGAGTTCATGACCAGAATAGTTCCATATATTGATTGGATGTGTATGGCCATAGCATAAACAGAACCGGGAAGAGGCAGCCAGAAGAGACAACCACAAAAAGGGCTGGACCTGCCCTAAAGACGTAGAGCATGCTCCCTTTGCAAAGGGAATTTTTACTTTGCAAAGGGATTTTTTTGCTTAGTGAATGTGGCAAAAACGTACAATTCAAAGAACACCAAATCACATGCAAGGAAAACAGGATTTTTTTCTGGAACCTGATTGGATGATAAGCCACACAGCTTCACCCCGTCAATTAAGCTAATTGAAAATTAACTTTGCAAAATGAACATGCTTTGCTGTTTAAGTAAGTCAACCGCTATGTACAGTAACATCAAGTCATCAGCACTTAACTCAAGGGGACTGTGCGTTTCACAGATAGAAGTCCTTAGGTTTGCTAAACTAACATTAGGCCTGTTGAAGTAGTTTACGGCTCATGGGGGAGTACATTTTGACTTTTCTGCCATGAATGCTAAAGGGCCTAGTCCCTGCACTGTCCATAACTATGTGCCTCAGTGACAGGTGTCACCAGGACAACCAGAGATGGTGAATCTTCCTTGCGGGGACACAGGAGTAAAACATGACAAGGGTTCTAATCCGTTCCCAACTCTATCAAAAGCTTTAAAAAAACAACGGATATACATACTGTATGTCTTAAATAATGTCTTTTTATTTCTGCCTGGAGTTTGTCTTTAATGCACCTGATAGATGGCCTTGTTTGGTTACACTCTATGAGCATTAGAACAGTGCACTATGATTGATGAGTGATGTTGTTGTTCTCAGTACATGTTAATGGAAAAACATAGAGTAACAGTGGTGTGAGAAAGCAATCCTTCTCCCAGGTGGCACTTATGATGGTGAGTAATCCCAGAGAGGAAACCTGAGAGCTGTTTACTTATCTCTGGCCTTCTTCTTCTGACTCATCACAGGGTTGCAGTAACCGTGTTCCCCGTCTCCCAGTCAGTTTCATTTCTATATGTATGACAAAGTTCATGTTGCTATATAAAAGTGTACACCTCCTTTCTCACAAATAGGACACTGTAAGCAGCAGGGAAATAATACGTTTGGCAAACAGTATTAATTACCCATTAATTACCTATTCCACCTCCCCTTAAAAACTGTACATCTACTCCTTCAATCAGCTCATTCCTCACAATTATTACCTTCTGTATCATTTGCCCCTCCTTGTATATTGTAAGCTCTTATGAGCAGGGTCCTTCTAATCCTTTTGTATTGTAATTGTACTGTCTCCCCATATAAATCCTGTATAATAATAATAATGTTGTTTCCTAGGTCTCATTTACATTTAAGTAGCTGTTATGGAGTCACATAGCTGCCTACAATAAAAAAAAACAGAACACTCCCATTGACACATTATGGGGTGATGTAAACAGATAAAGGTAAGATTAAGCCACACTGTCAACTTTGTAGCAGTTGTAGCTTACAGGGACCCTGCCCCTAAAAATCAAGGTCTGCTTTTTATTTGCAAGTAATCTTTATTGAAGAATTTTCAACAATACATGTATAAAAGGCAGGATTTATCGCAGACGTATCACAATCACAACAACAAAAAGTCCTGTATGATATAGGCATGTAATAAAAC